AGGTTGGAGGCCATTCATTCCTATTAGGTTTCTTTGCTATTAGGTTGAGGCCATCGCTTTCTGGTTGCTGGCCTTGTTGTGGATTGACAGCGATCAGCCGATGGGTGGGGGCGCACGAAGACGAACGGCTCAAGGTCTGTGCAGAACGAACTTTCTACGCCCATCGCATTGTCCTGGCGGCAGAGAGCGAGGTGAGGATGGTGATGTGACGTGCCATGCTGCCATTGTAACGTTCTTTTTGGTTGTGCTTTTTTTAGGGTGCCAACTCTTTCATGTTCTCTCTCGATGCGTCTGAAGGTCTTCAAGAGCGGCCTCGCCACCGTGACCAAGGAGGCCAACGACGGCAGGCGTGGAACGTAGAGAACCGACGGACCGCTCTCTTGGACGCTCTCCTGGAGACCCGATCGGATGTCACTCACTTTTCAACCTCATGTGGCCCTCATGTCTCTTCCTTCGCTCAGGCAAGAGATCCGATTGGCTGAGATCTCCAACCCAGAGGCACGTAGGTTTGGGTGTTTGCTAGACGGATGCGTCATAAGGAGCGAGACATCCCCTTAGTACTGGTCAGAAGGAACATCGCTAGGCAGAGCAAAAGAAAGGCAAACCAAGATACCGTATCACTCTGTGAACTTTTTCAGATATACTTAGACTGCTTCACAGGCGCCAAGCTGAGTTAGTGGGTGGTGTGATTGTGTGAGGCTGTGAAGTTCATGTTGGACTACATGTATCAGACGGATGCAGCCGAGCCTGGTACTGAGCAGAATGGGATCGCATAGATCAAACACCTCAGACATCACGTTTGAAGATGCTGAAGGTTCCAGCCTTGTGTTGACAAACTCAGGTGGGCAGATTACAATCCGCGGACGCAGGACGCCCCTGGTTCTGGGCACAACGGGGGAGTTCTTTGCTTGTCAGTCATCGGATTTGCAAACCGTGCTTCGAGGAGATCAACAAGGACGTGCTTCGACTAGCACAGGCCTTTCGCTTGCTGGAACCCGAGGGCACTGATCAGTGACATGTCGACATCGATCGTACGGACAACTCACCAGTAGGAATCGTTGGTTGGGAATCGTTTCACCTGTAACAAGAAGCTTTAGGTCTTTGAAGCTTCGTAGTAACTTGAAGCTTCGTTGGCCAATAGATCGATATTGCGGGGCGTGGCCAAAGGTTCTTGTTACTACGGGTGAAACGATTCCCAGTGAAACGATTCCCAAGGAAGCTTCTTGTTACTAGAAAGCATTATTGTTACTAAGAAGGTTAATGGTGAACGGAGTCGTAAACAAATGCTTTGTAATTACTTCCTCCATGTGGTGTGGGTACTTGGGCCACACGCAATGTGCCAAGGCCAGGCTTGACTGAACGCGCCATGCATTGGTGCCTTGAATGCAAAACACATGAGCCCTTGGAGCGCCTTTTCTAGAGCTCGTTTAGACTCTGGCAAACAAGCCGTCTTCATAAACCATCCTTTTCTTTTTTCTTTGTTTCTAATAAACGATGGCCTCCAACTAGGACCCAGTAGAGGCCGCAAGGTGCGCTGAGCAAGTTGTGAGATAACGGCAATTTTGCAACCAATCATCACGAGGAAAAGTGGCTTTCAACGAGCAACTGCGCGACCTTCCCCTGTAAGCTGCTCTAGACCACGAAAGTTGATGTTGATGTGTTCTAAAATGATATTTTTCTCCAGATAGCTGAAAGCTGTAGGTGTTCTGATCGGAGTTTTGGTACCCTGCTGCCATTGATGCTTTGTCTCCCCACTTGTCTACTGGCGTGATCGGCTTTGTGTCTGCCGCTGCTGCCTTGCCTCCTTACATGTCTCCCCACTTGTTTGCCCGTGCGATCGGAGACTGTGAGCGCGGCGCCCAAAGAAAAGAAAGTGAGATATAACGAGATTTGTGGAGTCAGATGGAGGGGTCTTTGGACCCACTCACAGTCACTGGAAGCTCTCGTGGATATTTTTCGAGATATTTTTCGTCTCAGGTGGTTTTGTTGTTTGAATTAGGTGCCGGTGTAATTCAAAAAGGAAAAGAAGGGCCAAGCTGGCCAAAGGGCTTCGGCCTTCACTTTTTACTCTTTGCACGGCCGTCGCTCGGCGCCGCTCTAGGCTTGCCAAAGATTTGAGCACCGGCAACGTCGTCGAGGCGTGGGTCTAGACCTAGAACGGGTGTTTGTCTGTGAAAGACTCTTTTGCTTTCTCTTTTTTAAAAGTTCTTTGTATCATTACATTTTGTTTTGTTTTTTTTTTTCTGTCTTATCTCATTCTTTCTCTTTCCCTTTCCTTCTATTCTTTCCACAGCCTTTTCTTGCTCTACTATTCAAGAACGCTCTCTTTACTGCCGCTGCTCCCGTCTCCCGATACTCGTTCCATTCCGAAACCCTTCAGTCATTTGGCTTCAATTCGTGCAGGTGCTGACAATTTGCGAGGATTTTGGGCTCAATCAATTGGGCGATCGAATTCTAGAGCAGCCGGGGAACTTGGCAAGGACCACATTACAAAAAAATCATCCCATTGCTTTTGTTTCATTTTTGTGCTTATTTGTGTTATATCTTGATGAGGCTTACAACGCCCAGCCGGCCTGTTAGATGATGGTCGACGCTGAAGTGGAACTGCTCAGTCCTTCTTGAAGTGAATAGCAATGGCCTCCAACCTAATAGCGAAGTCTGCTGAATGATCAAAAGCTGGTGTCGCTTTTGACTCGCAAAAGCCTACAACGAAACCTACAATGAACATTGATTTATGATGTGAACATGAAGACGGTTTGGGCAGACCGTGATATCTTGCAGGCTCGACCCACAGAAAGGTCTGTTTCTTGACAGGAACAAGAAAGCTCTCGCAGAGGTGGCCAACAGCCTGGAACTTGGAGCTCTGCGTACGAAGCGTTTGGTCATTCCCCTTATGAGAGCGAATGTTTTTTCTGGCACCGTCCTCCATGCCTCTCAGAGGTTTGTCATGTCGTCACGGCCGAAGCATCCGAGGCCCTCAGATCATGAAGTATCCAAAGCTCATGCAGGTGCCATGCAAGCGACAAGAGGGAGCTCCGCTATCAGCACACAGAGTGCTGCTTTGAAGGTTAAAGAGATAAGGCCTGTTTGCTTCCTTTAGGCCCTAGGTTGGAGGCCACGGCTATTAGGTTTGAGGATGAGATTCTTGACTGCTGTAGAGATCTTCAGGCACTTTTACAGCAAGCAGCGGCTGTTCCAGACGAACCTCAGCCCAAGAAGAGGCCAGGACTTGTGCCATTTGAACAGTTAGATAGGGTTTAGACTTTCTGCTTGTTGCTTCCAATATGAGTTTTGCTTCTTCGAGTCCAACAGACATTGAAGCAAGCTCCGACATCAAGCTTTCGTCCGCTGATGTATCCGCACATTGATGGCCTTGAGAGAGTTGTGAGACCGGTTGATCACCTTCTCAGGCTTTAAAAGCGAAAGAAATAGCATGAAAGAAAAAGGAACAAGGACGCTACTAGGGGCTCCTGGCATCGCTACTAATAGCAAAGATGCTACTAGGAACAAGGGCCTTTAGCGAGTCAGTTCTGAGAACTGACTGAACTGACCGACACGGCGAGTCTGTTTGTGCCGCCTGCGGGCCTTTTTGAAGCTTTTTGCAGGGCCAAACGCTGAAGCACCTGAAGCACTGACGACAGCCCGAAGCTGTGACTTGGAGTAAACAGGCGTCAAATACCCGGTTTGTTTGAGAGTTTATTCTGTATCCAACCTGTATACTGAGGGTGTCAAGACCTTTCAGGTGTTTTTCCCCAGATTGCGAAGCTATGGGGTTCTTACTTCAAATAACAATGAGTTGCCCTGCGCGCTTTCGAGACAGGTTGCTGGTGCTGGTGCTGGGTGCCGGTGCGTGAGCTGGCTGTGCGCGTGGTGGAGACAGGTTGCTGGTGCCGGTGCCGAAGGTGGGTGCCGGGTGCCGGTGCTGGTGCTGTGAGCTGGCTGTGCGCGTGGTGGAGACATGCTGGTGCCGGGTGCCGGTGCCGGTGCTGGTGCTGGGTGCCGGTGCTGGTGCTGGTGCTGGGTGCCGGTGCTGGTGCTGGTGCTGTGAGCTGGCTGTGCACGTGGTGGAGACAGGTTGGTGCCGGGCGCCGGTGCTGGCCGGGTGCCTGTGCCGGTGATGGTGCTGTGAGCGGGCTGCGCGTGGTGGAGACAGGTTGCTGGTGCCGGTGCTGGTGCTGTCAAGGGCTGTATTGTTTGCGCGCATACTTTTGTACGTACACTGTTCTATGCGCAACGTCAGGCTCTCAACCGACCATTGTTTCAGCATGCTTCAGCCTGCCACACACACAAAATAGTCGTGCTGGATACTGCTTGGCCTTGGGCCAATGACACTTACGGGCTTTGCTGTTTGCGCGCATATTTTTGTGCGCATAAACTTATACGCGCAAGAGCACACTAGGGATAGCTATGGGGTTCTTGCTGCAAACTTAATAAGAATGAGCTGGCTGCGCGCGCTTTCGAAGGGGTGTCAGTGCTGGTGCTGGTGTTGTGGTCCTGGGTGCTGGTGGCTGAGCGCGCGTTTAAGACGGGCGGCGGTGCTGGTCGGGTGCTGGTGCCGCCCCCGGTGTTGTCAGCTGGCAAAAAGCGCACCGGTGCTGCTGTCAGCTGGTTGCGCGCGCTGTGGAGGCGCCGTAAGCTGGCTGTGCGTGCAGGCTGTGTACATTCTTGTTCCAGCCAGTCGGGGTCTATGATGGCTTAATTGCTTGAAGGCAACACTCTTGAACAGCCAAGATTGCTGGTGAATGACCATGAGCTGTTTAGAAGGACAGTGATATTTGTACAATTATCACATTTTTGAGTCACCGAGTTGCACTGAAAGCCAAGATGAAGATTTCCATCACCCCTGCCAGGGTCAGAACAAGTGGAGAGTAGCCAGAAAGGTAGGTTTGGAAGTCACGTAACTAAGGTGATGATGTTGACCAGGTGAGGCCAGCAAAAGAGGCTGCTTTGCTTAGTGGCCCTTTGGGGGTTAGATGTCAATATGCAAAGCGCTCGGGTTGCCTGATCACGTGGCAGATGAAACGGACCAAAGGTATCAGTCTTATAGTGCTGCAGCCAAGAAACTCAGTTTTCAACTTTGGTGTTTGAAATGATTCTTCTGCTTGTTTCACCAGCTGCCACATTGATCAGCTCTTGTACTCTTACCTCGTGAGCAGTGCGCATAGGGGTGCCACAGATGTTGCTCGCAAGAGGAAAAATGCATTTGCATCTAAAGAAGAAAGAACAAAAAAGAAACAAAAAAACACAAAAGAAGGGAAGAAAGGAACAAAGAAAGCAAGACAGAAGGCAAACATAGAAGATCCAAGGGCCTCAAAGAACAAAGACCAATACTGTAAGAACAATAAAAGGAAAGAAGAACAAACAAAAATGCGACTAGATGCGGCAAGACCCTCGTTCCTAGATGTTTAGTTTCCATTTCTCTTCCTTATTTAGGCCAAACTCCTTGATCTACTTCAAGATTCTCCAGAGAGGTACTACTAGGAGCAAAGGACGCTACTAGGAACACACACATTAAGTGGAGGCAGATGAGGCAAGTAAAAGGTCGACCATATTCCTTTGGCTCGAAAGCTTGAGGCTCTTCGATGCGGCACATATGCACCAGCTCAAACCCGTGGTCGCTATGCAAGACTCGGAGTCTTCCTCCGCAGAAAGAACCTTAGATGAACCTTGGTACCACTAAGATTGGTTTTGAAACGCAATCTGAGACATGACCTTGATTTCGTCGTAGTTTCACTTCTGCAGCCAAAACGCTATGGCTGATGATGATGCCAGGACCAATTGTTTTGAACGCCTTAAACAAGTGGTGTACCAACGTTTGTCAGACATCAAGTGTTTGTCAAGATAAATTCTCAAAGTGGTTTGTCCTTTGCTGACCAATTTGACCAGGCCCTCTGTTCCTTTGACTGCCCAATATGATGCCCAAAGCTACAGCTTTGAGGCCACATGCTTTCAAAGCTTTCGCCATGCGCTGCAAAAGAATCAGACAGACTTTTGGACACCGTTTCAGCTTGTGCTGCTTTGCTTGAACCGTTCAAGACCAAGAGTTGATTTGACAAGTCTTTCAGACATGCGCTGCTCACACGAACCAAGGCTTGGATCCAGTTCCTTCACTAAAGAGTGGGTAAAGAAGGGATCTTTTCATATTGCATTTCTGTACATGTAAAAAGCCCTACTTGCGATGGCCTCCGACCTAGTAAAGAAAGCACGCAAGGTCCCCGACTTTGGGTTGTCAACCTAGATAAACCGTGTGCTATTTCCTCGTCATGAAAGCGTGCGACTTCTTTCCAACGCTGTGTCCACAGGCGGATCGTGCCAGACGCTTAGCTCTACAAAAAGAACTTGAGGACTGTATCGACTAAAGCTTGACCTTCGATCTGTGTCCTTGGATGCACTTCATCAAGCTAGCTTCATGACCCCCCTTAGCGTCCTTGCTCCTAGCAGCGATGCCATTTGTTATTAGTAGCAAGAATGCTCCTAGTAGTAAGGCCAGGAGCTACTAGTAGCGTCCTTGCTCCTAGTAGCGTCGATTAGATATATTTTGTGTGATTTGTTTATCACTTTCTCAACGTCCTCCTTTCTTCCGTTGCTTGAATGTGTCACAACCGGACATCGCGGTCTCCAGTCTAGTTTGGTCCTTCGAAGGTAGACCGCTCCAAGAAAGCCGTTGTTCTCCGAGTTCATGAGTTCGGACTTGTTCCTACTAGCGATGCACTTGTTCCTACCAGCTTCTTGTTGCTACTAGTAAGGTTACTAGTAGCACCAGAAGAGTTCATGAGTTCGGACTGAGATGATCTGCGCAGGAGCTTCAGCGCGAGAGTGAGCATGGAAAGCAGGCCACGTCACCGTGTGCCGTGTTGTGCAGAACAGATGCTTTCTCAACACGGACCCTTGCAACTGAAACTCTCCAAGCTACACTTCTCCCAAGCACTATTGAAACTTCCTGGGAGAAGTTTTGGTAACGGATTGTAAAACATTGTGACACAGGTCAGCTTGGAAAGGTGACATGTACAGCACACGGAGGCTCAGATCTAATGCCATGGCACACCCAACCATGCTTGATTGGAAAGCAAACAAGCTGGGCTTGAACCTAGATCCAAAACAGAGCAGTGAGATTCTTTGCAAGGCACTAGCCTAGATTCAACACTTTGCTTTTCAACAGTTTGCTTTTCCTTCGGTTCTCACGCTTTCCTTGTAGCCTTTCTGGCACATGAATCCCTTACTTGACCAAGTAGGGGCCCACTTAATGTGAGGCTCCGCTCTCCGCTCTCCGCTCCTCTGAGGTCCTGGACAACTTGGCGGTGAAGATCCAAAACCTCCGTGCCGAGGTCGAGCGCCAGCGGAAGCTGAAGCCCGAACGAGGCCAGGGCGGTGCAGATTCCGCGCGCTCACTCCGTGCGAGGTCAGTGGTAACTACAGATTATAGGCTTATTAATTAATTGTTCATTCATTGCATATACATAAATCATTCATATGTTGGTCTTAACTGTCCTTTTAAGAGTCTTTTTCAACCAAGCGAGAGATTCTCCTAAAGCGCCTGGTTGCTGCTTCAAAAGGGCTGTCAAAAAGGGGCAAAAGGAGAAAGTCTTTTGGGATCCCAAACTCGCTTTTCATATTCGAGCACGCTTGCTTTCTTCGTGCTGAATGCTCATATACACTCCAGGTTGCAGCTCATGCCATGCAGTGACACTCCAGGCCGGCGGGCTCATCAGGGCCGGAGCGTGACATATCGACTATGCGGACATATTCGCATAGTAAGCATGCGTCAATGCCAATGACACAGAGCACTCTTCATATATATATATATATAGACTGCTGTTTTTTGCGATGCATGTCTAGGTAGAGGCATGCTCATGAAAGTGGGGATCAACCACGGCTAGCTGCACCAAAACCTGAAAATAGCTTCTGATTCTGTGGCATTAGTGTTGATCCCCAAATCCCCTGATGATTTCATCTGGAGGTGAACTGATGATGATCCTAAAGTACTTGGGTCTCGTGTTCTTTCCAGTTCTGCCCCAGATGTTGGTTTGACATAAAGAAGGAAAGAAGGAAAGAAAGGTCCATAGGCTCAAGGTCTCAAGAAGATGAGAAGAGCAAACAGAACAGCGATAGAAGAACTGTTTGTCTTTGCATGTCAGCAAAAGTAGCCTATATAATAGGAACGGCCTCCAACCTAATAGCGATGGCCTGGAACCCAATAGCAAAACGAA